GAAAGCTTATCGTGTAACACTCTCAGACAGAAGCAAAGGGAATGCAGAGGCTGATCAATCTGACATAAGGGCTGCTTCCCCCCAACCCTGGGCTGTAGGGCAGCCAAGCCATCCAGCCTAGGCTTCCCATGGGTGGAGGGTGGGTGTCTGATGAGCATCGGAGTGCTAGTCTACCTTCAGCCCCTAGAAAGCAGGCGGCATGGTTTATGTATGATATTACAAAGGCCATCTGAGCTCAAGGCCCTGGGTGGGCATGTTCAGGCCCACAGAGTCATTCAAGCCCCGGAGTGCTGACAGCATCCTTCCCAAGGCCAGGTGGGGGCTCATGGAGAAGAGAAAACACAGACAGCACTACATGCCTCCTCTCCTGTGATCTAGACTGCAAGAGAGGGGAAACGGGCTCAGAGAGCCTGTGACCACTTAAGAACAGATAGCACCAAACCCAAGGCTCTGGAAACCAGGTCTAAGAGTCTCTCTTCTGGCCCAAACAAAAAGAGGAACCCAACTGGGCACAGTGACTCAAGCCTGTAATCTCAGCTATTTGGAAGGTAGAGATTGTTTCAAGGCCAGGCCAGGGCAAAAAAGGTTCATGAGACCCTATCTCAACCAATGGATGGGCATGGTGGTGCACCCTGTCGTCCCTGCAGCATAGGAAGCATATATAAGAGGATCGTAGTCCAGGCCAGTCTGGGCATAAAGCAAGACCTTATCTCAAAAATAAGTAAAGCAAAAAAAGGGCCAGTAACATGGCTCAAGTGGTAGACAGCCTGCCTAGCAAGCACAAGGCCCCAAGTTCAAACCACAATACCGCCAAAAAAAGGAAGAGGAGGAGTTGGACCCAGAGCAAAGAGATAAAAGAGGGTTCCTAAAACAGGAAGCTAACAAAAATCCCTCTTGGTTTTCTCTATGGAGTCTTGCTTTCAAGTCTCCATGGAGGGAGCCTCCTGGGTTTCTAGACAAGCAGTCAAGGCCGTGTGAAGGAGGCTGTGTGGGCTGTAAGAAACAGACTTAGCTCAAAGTCTATACCAAGGAGACATACCCGCTCTTATAACTAGAAACCCAGAGGCCTTCAGTTCTTCCTTGCTCTCCACCCTACCATCAACAATGTCACCTTATGTCTTTCTTCCTCACAGTGCCAAGATGGCTGCCAGCAACTACAGGGTTTCCATGTTCTTATTTCAAGAAAGAGAACAACTTCCTGCAGTTCTCTCTACCTTCCACTCAACCTCCAGAACTGACTCCTACATCCATTCTGGAACCAGCCAGTACAAGGAGAAGAAATTACCCTTGGACCAATCAGAGCAGCCATGGACGGAGGTCTCTTTCCAAGAGAAGAGAGCCCAGATGTTGGGGAGATCAGCAATGATGTCATTACAAAGCTGTGAACTCCACAGATGCTGGGGCTCCCCCCACAGCATCTAAACCATCTCCAGTGTGGTCTAGACTTCTTTATCTGGAAACAACTCCCTGTGATGGACTCAGACAGGCCAGGCCCCTGCTCAGCTGAGCCCTCTTCACTTCCCCAACTATAAACCAAGACAACTGGGGATAGACAAATGACTGAAATCCCATGGAACATGCAAGGACGAGTGCATCCCCCCGTGGGTGTAAGAAGCATATGTGCCCAAGTCTTCCTTAGCTGACATATTCTAGGAGGGGACCCTGTGCCCAAATCCCAGCAGAAGACCATGTCCCAAAGTGCCTCCCCTGTCAGGCACCCTTCTCCCAGGGAGGCTTGGTCACTCCTAGGACACACCTGTGTGGCCTCCACCACCTCCTTGAGCCTGAGCTTCTGTACCAAAGCCACCGATGCCTGCCCAGGGCCAACATGGGTAAGGAGGCTGATGGAAGAATGAGTGCATGGATTCTGTCTGTCCGAGCAAGTCTAGCCAGGCCCATTTAACTCACTCTAAAGCTGAGTCCCAGACCTGCAGGGAAGGACAGCAGCCCAGGAGGGGTCCTCTGGGGGTATTTCCAGCTCTTAGGAACATCTAACAGAGACTTCCCAGCATCCTCCACTCCTGGATGCCCACCACTTGTCTAAGAGCTCCTTCTTCACTGCTCGCCCCTGCACTCCAAGTTCTCTGTGCCCAATGCTCACAGCACAGAAGCTCTAGACGGCACAAAAACTACCCAAGCTGCTGACTAATTCACATCAAGGTGTGAGTAACTAACAAAACCTAAACTTTTCTCAAGATTTTAGATTTTAACCAGATTCAGGAACTCAGGCAGGACTCCCACTGACAAAGATGACATTCAACTTAGGACCCGGGGAATAGTAGGAGTCATTTATGAGAAAAGAAGGAGGCAGGTGTTCCAGGTAGAGGAAACAGTGAGTCAAATGCCCCAAGGCAGGAAGAAAATGGAGCTTAAGGAACAGGAAGTAGATCAGAGCCGCTGCAGTGGAGTGAGTGGTGTGGACCCAACCACCAGGTGGAACAGGAATTTGACCCAGTTTGCTTCAGCACCCATGACTTCTTCATGGAGCTCTTCTGCCTCAAGATAAATTATGACGAGGCCATTTATTCAATGACTGCAATACTCTGGGTACTTTCTATATTAGCACAGTCACTGGTGTCTCAACAATCCCATGACAGAGGTCACTAGTACTTCTGCCTTCACAGAGGAGAAAAGGAAGCTCAGAAAGGTTTAGTAACCTCCAAGATAGCACAGCAGTGACAGTCAAAGCAGAATTTCAACACAAGTCTGCCTGACACCAGAGGAAGCTGAAACCTACCCTACCCTGGGCTCAGTAGGTGACAGTGTGAAGGTCCGTTTTCATTTAGGGAGGCCAGAATTCCATTTCATGCTAACCATCACCATAGCTGTTACTGTTTCCTCCCCTAGAGCTGCCTTTCTGAGGACAGGGACTTCTGACCTGCCTCCTCTCTGCATCCCCAAGGCCTGGGCCCTACATACACTGGGGCTGGGCCTCAGCCATGGAAAAGGCCTAACCTTGGTTTCTTCACCTAAAAAGTGGGAGGAGGGCTAAGTAGGGCCTCAGCACATAGTAGGTACTCAACACTGGCTGCCTTTAACAATTCACAGTTCCAAGGTAGCTCCTTCCTCACCATTTCACCTGATCCTCACAGGAATCCCAAGATCTAGGAGACAAGGTGGCCTTACTCCCATCTTATAGGTGGGGAAACTGAGGCAGGTGAGCAGAGACTCCCCTCCAGATCACTGGGCTGCACAAGAACGGGGGACTTACTACAGTCCCAGGGCTCAAATGGTGCATCTGCTGAATAAATGGATCAGGGCTAAACACGGCCCCTCCCTCCTGCAGCTGTCATTTCCCCCCTTGCTGTCCCCTGCCCAGAACTGGTGGGTTTATTAAAGAAAGGGGAGGTGATGAGGGGTGGACAGAAAATGTCCGCTCCGGGTTGAGTGTGGTGCCTTTTATGCTGGTTACACAACAGCCCTATTATCACGCCCAATCTAGAGATGAGAAAACAGAGGCAGCCAGACCAGAGCCAGCTCAGGCACAGCAAAGGGACCTGCGCCAAGATCCTCTGGCACCTTAGCCAGGCCACCTGGGCACCTGCCAGCAACCCGAGGCCTCCGCCTCGTCCAACCCGCGGCTGTGAGCAGAAAGAACACCCCCGGACACTCGCGGTCCTTCCTCCACTTCACCAAGGCAGGCGACAAAGCACACGCTCAGCGCCGGGGGGGGGGGGGGGGGGGAGGCCTCCCGAAGCCACCGAGCCCGGCGGCCCTGTCCCCTCTAGCCACACACACGCGCGCACGCACGGTGGCGAAGCGTGACTCAGCGGTTCTCCTCCCCGCGCGGGGCGCGCCACGGCTCCGCAGCCCGCCCAGGTCGCACACCCATCCTCGGCCTCCCGGGCCAGCGCTGCGCCGGCCTCCGCGCCTGCTCGGCCTCATTTCCGGCGGAGCGGGCATCAGGGTGGCGGACACCAGCTCCAGTCAAGTCACCGCACGGGGCCCACGCCGGTTCGCTGGCACAGGCACCCACGCGCACCAGCCGCGCGGGACGCGGCGCCAGCGCCCCTCCCACAGGGACGCCCACCAGGGAGTCATAAACACTTGTGGGCCAGCCCGGCAGCCCCCAGGGAGGCTGCACTGTCCCTACAGTCCAGCACGAGCGTCCCCGCCGCCCAAGCTTGTGGCTACTCTGCCTCCAGAGGTCACAAGCTCCCATCCTCCACCAGGGGTTCACTCCGCCGGCACCCCGCGGCGCGCGCGAGCTGTCCCACTGTTCCCAGGGCAAGGCCCGGCGGAAGGACCCTGCAAGTTACTGTCATATAGGAAAGGAGCACTGACCCTCAGGATTCCCCTGCCTGGAGTGGGGGTTGGGCTTCCATAGCCAATTTAGGGGATTTAAAATACAGGGCCTTTTGTGGGTGGCATGTCCCACTTTTTTGTGACATCCTAAAGGTCTGGCCCAGCTACTCCTATCTCACTATAACTCCCCAGGAATAAAAGCCTAGCCCCACACCAGCCGCCTCCTCCCTCCCACGCAGGGACCCTGCCTCTGGAGGCGCAGGGAGGGGCCCAGGGCAGGCGAGCCTCTCCGGAGGATATGGCAACGGATTTTTTTTTTTTTTTTTCTGGGTCCCTCTTCGTCTCCAGGGAGTGGGCAGCCTAGAAAATTCTGCGGGCTATGGGCAGGGCTGAAATGGCAAATCCAGGATTTTAAGCCTTTACGAGATTTCTACACTAGACTGGCCGCAGACATGGCCTTTGTAAAAATGATAGCCAGGGCCGGATCGGGATGTCACCTGGCCAGGAGCACAAAATTGCCTCCCTCCCGGAGGGCGGCGCGGAGGAGGGCGCTGCCCCTCTTCCAGCGCTGGGTAGCGAGGCCGGTGCCCTCGGGCTCCCTCCCTGCCAGACCCGGGTCGGGGTGGGGTGGGGTGGGATGGGGCGGGGGGGACACGACACACAGCGCGCGGTCCAAACCTTCGGAGGGCATTCGGTGCGACGGCATCCCCACGCCGCGGCCGGCCGGAGGGGGTCTCAGACAACACGTACGTTACCTTCAGTCACATAGCTGTGGTCCCGCAGGAAGCTGTGGTTAATTTTCCGCGTGTCCGTGTCCTCGCCCATTGAAGGCCGTGCCCGGTGCCCTGGGCATGCCCCGCCGCCGCACACCGATGCAATCCGCAGAGGTCGCGCCGGGCGCGCGGGCCATGCCGCCGCAACCTAGCAGGGGCGCGGGCCGCCGGGGCCCTGGGGGGCGGACATCGCGGCCGGGGGGCGGCCGGGGACGGGCGGGGTGGCCGGGGCGGGCGCCGCGGTCAGGCGAGCGCGCGGCGGGCGGGCGGCGGCCGCGGGTTCGGGCGGGCCGGGGCCCAGGCGCGCATCCCGGCCGGCCCGTGCGCTCTGCGTCCGTGCGCCGGCGGTGGCGGCGGCGGCGGCGGCGGCGGCGGCGGTGGCCTGGTGCCGTGCGCCTGGCTGCGGCAGCGACGGCGAGGGGACGCGCGCGGCGCTGCGCTGCGACCGAGCCGGGGCCGAGCCGGGCTGCGCCGGCTGGGGCGGCCACCGCGGCTGTCGCAGGCCCCTCCCTCGCGCCGCCCGCTCTCCGCCCCCGCGGCCGCGCTGCCCGCCCAGCCACCCTGCAGGTGGAGCCGGCGCCCAGGCAGACGCGGCACCGCGGTGCTCGGCCCTCGCGCCGGGACCTTTGGGGCCTGGATGCGCGCCAGGGGGAAGGGAGAAAGATGAAGCAGGCTTGGGTGGGGGCGGGGTGTTGGTCAGCTGCGATTTGGGGAGGAGGGTACCTTGGGTGCCCAGGTGCTCCCAGTTATGGACTCTTTGGTCATAACGGGTCAGGAGGCTAGACGGGGGGGGGGGGGGGAGGAGGAGGCCCGCAGCTTAGCTGGGCAGAAGGCAGCGACCAAAACGACTGCGGGGGGGGGGGGGGAGGGGGGTGGCGGGTTGGATCGCTGCATAGGGCACCTGGAGAGTGGACACTTGGGGAGCCAAAGGGGGAGGACAGTGGGCCCCTTCGTTAGTAGAAGCGGTAGTTTTGGGGTCCCCTTGAGCGCACAGCTGGGTCTGCGTGAAGAAATGGGGGGCAAGCATCCTACATGGTAAAACTCTGGATGATGCCAGTGGAGGTGGGTTCCACCCCCTCCAAGCCTCCCGCTCCCAGGCAGAGCTTGTGATCCTTCTCTTCCTACAACAGGTGAGAAGTAACCAGGGACACCAGCACTGGAAATGGTTTTTCCCCCTGCATGGCCGTTCCTGAACAACCCTGGGCTTCTGCCCACCAACCTTCTCTCTCTCTCCCTTCCCCCTCACCCCTGCCCCCTTCAGTCCTTAGTGAATACCCCACATCTTAACAGGCCTGGTACAAATAACCCCTCAAAAGTATTGTCTCTTTTGTCAAGCTGTCTCCTCCAAGAATCTCCGCTCCCCTGCAGGTAGTACAGGGGGTTTAGAGGTGTTGGGACTGGGGGGAAGGCCTTCCTCTGTGTTCAGCAAGCTCTCCTTGCAAAGGGAAGCAGGAAAGCTCTAACTCGCCTTGGGAAGGGCAATGCAGTGGGGTCACCAAGGTGGAGGAGTCCTAGGGTCCAAGACATTAGTGCCAGTGGGGCTGGCCTCACCCAGTTCTACAATTCTGCAGTGCTCTCTGCTTCTCTCAGCTGGTTTTGGGGACTCCAGGCAGCCCCCAAATGTAATGGAAGCAGAGTCCAGACAGTGCGGAGAGGTTGGGTTAAGGGAGGTTTCTTGTTGGGAACCGAAAGGAGCGTCCACAGGTAGAACTGGGCTTTCCCCTGATAGAAAGGCCCAGCATGGACATATGAGGAGGAGAGGAAGACCTTGCCCAGGACCCTGCAGGGTGTGATGGAAAGAGCTGGAACAGGAGAGGGCTGGGCCAAAGCCAGCACTGCTCACTAACCTGTGCCAGCTTCAGCCGTTTCACCGCAGAACACAGGGCTGCTGCTCACCTCCTAGCATAGCTGTGCAGACTCCCGGGCAGAACAGGATCTTTGGGATCAGTGGGTTCCGTGCCACTGTACCCCACAGTTCTACTGCCACCCCAGCCTGCTCTCCTGTCCCTCACACCTGGTCTACCCAGATGTCCCACACATCCTACTCTCTGACCACACACCCCTGGCCTCTAGCTCAGAAAAGCAACATGGCTGCAGCGTCACATTGGAAGGCAGATGGGCTGAGTTCAAGTCCCAACATTGAGGGGCCAGCAGAGTCTTGTGTATAAAAAGGACATGGCAACAGGGGTTGTTTCAAAGCATCACCAGGCATGGCTGGTTTGTGCTGAGCAAGGGGCCTGGTCTTGTGGTGCTCAGTTATCATCTTGCTGAGCTGCACCCTCCTGCAGGGCCCTTCCCCTTCCTACATCTGTGATGTGGTGCCAAGAGGCACGGGCCTGCTTGAGTCTCTTCCACATTAGAGAACAGGCCTCGTTCCGTGTCCCCATCCAGCTGCAAGCACATTTCTGATTCACAACCACAGTGACAGAAGAGCGAATCTACACTGGCTGCTTCCTCTTCCTCATCCCGCACACTCACTGCTGCAACCCTCCCACCACCCTTCTGCCACCCTCCTCCCTAGAGAGAAACTAGTCTCACAGGGCAAGGATGACTGCTCTGTCCCTGGCTTCCACCCTGTGGGCACCCACACACACTTCTCTCTGGCTGTCCCTCTGGCTCCCTGCAGCCACTTTCAAGGTTGAGTCGTGTTCCTTCCGAAAATCTGCCTGTGTGTCTCACTGTACCTGTTTCCCCATACATTCCCGGATGTACAGAGCCTGTGCAGAAAAATGCCCTACAGATCCAATGGTCTCCTGCCTATATCCTTGTTGCAGCCCCACCTCTCAACAGGGGGACTTTGGGAGGCGATCAGGGTTAAATGAGGTCCTGGGGAGCCTTCATGGTGGGATCAGCACCTTTATAGGAAGAGACAAGAAAACTTGCTCACTCCCTGAGATGTCACGTGGGGACCTGGCAAGAACCCTCACCATGGGGCCAAGTTGGCCGGTGTCCACCCTGAACTCTCTGGCCCCAAAGCTGTGAGAAGGTACAGTCCTGCTGGTTAAGCCCCCAGGCTGTGGTATTTTGTTGTAGCAACCCAAGAGGACAAACACAAACACAAACGCTAAATGTTTCACTCAGTGGACACCAGGAAATAAGTACCCCTGTAACGTGGAGCATGGCCAACCAGAGGCCTTCCTGTTAGGGACTAAAGGTGTGTTCCCCAAAATCACCTGTTGAAATCCTAACTCCCAAGGTGACAGTGCTGCAAGGTGGGTCCTTGGGAGGTGGTTAGGTCATGAGGATGGAGCCCACGGACAAGATTAGTGTCCTCTAAGAACTGTGAGAGAGTTTTTGTGCTCTCTTTCTGTCAAGTGAAGACACAGCAAGAAGAAAATGCGCCATCAGCAGACAGTTCATTAGCTGGTGCTTTGCTACTGAGACAGCCTCCAGGTGGTGAGGAGTTACGGTTAAGCCATCCAGGTGGTGGCAGCTTTGTTACAACATCCATGAATGACTAACGGGTCACCCCAGAGATAACCCCATGGTGACTTCTGACATTGCTTTGCTAGTTTAGGGAAAATCTTTCATCCTCCTCCTCCTCCTTTTTTGTTGTTCAGTCTAGGACACTAGGCAAGAGCTCTGCCCTTGAGCTGTGTCCCCGAATCCTTTGGTTTTGAGATTGGGTCCTACTATCTTTTTCTGGACTGGCCTCAAGTTATCAATCTTCCAGTCTCTGCCTCCTGAGTAGCTGGGATTACAGGCAAGCACCATTGTGCCTGGCTAGAGAATTTCTATAAATAAAGTCCTGGAGTATGAATTTTTTTCATCTGGATTCTTTTGCTCGGTGCTGTTTCTGAGATTCAGATACATGCTTGTAACTAATTCATTGTTCCTTGTTGTGTGATCCTCCATCATGGAAAGTCTGCAGTTCGCCCACTGCTGATGGTCATTCAGAGCTGCTTTTCAATTGATGGCTGAAAGGACAAGGCTCCCCTGTCTCAGCATTCGTGCTGTGGTGGGAAGTGTCAGTCGTCACGTCTATGGTTGTTTAGCTTTGTTACTGATGTCGCACAGGTCCCCAAGAGATAAATGAGAAAATTTCTGTTGGCACACAACCTCCTTCAACTGTTGCTATAGTTTGTGGGTTTAGCCGCCTCCTGCCTCCATGGCTGAAGCTGGCATCCTCTCCTGACACTGACCTGGCTGCTCCCCAGTCCACTGAAGATGATATGGGGCCGCCGTGCTCTGTGCCCCATACCTTCCTAGTCTGACCTTGCCTTCCTCCAGCCAGTGTCACAGTCCGCACACCCCAGGATCCCCTCACTCCATGGTGCACATTGCCCGCACTGCTGCAGACCTTCTAAGCTCCAAGCTTCCATACTCTAAGTCTAAATTCAAGGGTCTTCCCAACACGCACCTCCACCTGCAGCTCTGGTCATGTCCCTTGTGCCCCAGTGTTGTAACCCCCTGAACATGGGCGACTTCCTGAGCAAGTCAGTCCCCTCGCAGACCTGTGCATTTGCCCAAGCTGGTCCCCTGCCTAGAATGTGGACCCATGTCCCACCTTCGTTTCGATCAGAATCTGTCTAAGTGTCACGCATCGTCCAGTGGTCACGGAGCGGCCACAGGGGAGGCCCTCAGGGCTGACCTCACACAGCCTGCTTCTAGTCTGCTTCTGTAGATTTGCACTTCCTCGTCCCTTCTTAAATTAGGCATGGTAACAAGACTTGATGCGGTCTGTGAAATGTGAGGTAAGGGAATTCCTTTCTGAGCTGAAGCTTGAAGAGCTAGAATTTTCTTTCCTGACTTAAGGTCTTGCAAAAGCACTCATCAACACAGAGCCTCTGTCAGACAGGACCCCAGATGACTTCGAAGACCAGGAACCCCTACTTCTTGTGCAGGGTCAGAAAGAGCAAGCATGCGCTGTGTTTAGCCACTAAGACTAGCAGGCTTCTTGTTAACAGCAGCCCACCCTCACCTATCCTGACTCCCGTCCTTGTGCTGGAGTATTCACACACGCCTTCTCCTCCTGTCTCAGATGTAAGGAACCCCTCTCGCTATACTGCGGTGACATGGTGGCTCATTGGTATTTCTTATGCATGCCATGTGCCCATCATGAGTTGGCTACAGCTCTGATCCTTACATCTTCATTCCACAACTCAAGCTGTCAGAATATCTCCAAAGTTGGCCATTGCTGGGGTCATGCAGAGGTAAAAGAGAGAGCTGAGGCCATAAGCCACAGTGTCATTGGCCCAAGTGAGTCACATAACGCCAGATAGGAATTCAATGAGGTCAGAGAGGGACACTAGGTCTCATAGCCACATGGCCTTGGTGAAGCACAGAAGGACAATACCCCTCCAGGAAGGGGCTGCAAATGCTTTGCAAAGTAAGAGTTTATCATAGTTCCCATTTTATAAATGCAAAACCGGGAACCGAGTCATTTTTACAGGCCCCTGCTCCTTTGTGACAGTGCTGAGATCTGGCAGGTCTA